ACAACCTGGTGGTAGTCGGAATCAGAGAAACACGTTGGACGCATTTCGGACAACAAAGACTAGCTTTAGGAGAGATGCTATTATACTCGAGCAATGAAGAAGAAAATACCTCATATAAACAAGGAGTTGCACTAATGTTGTACAAAGAAGCACAAAAAGCACTTATAGGACTAGCGATCATCAAAGCGTCATTTAAGACAAAGAAAAAAGGGATTACAATGAATATCACACAGTGTTGTGCACCCACCAGCGATACAACGTAGACGATAAGAATCAATATTATGGGATGCTGCAGTCAATCATCGAGAAATTCTCAGCAGAGGACCGCACCATTCCGATGGGACACAAACGCTAAAATTGGAATGGACAACACTGGATACGAAGACATCACATGACAAGATGAACTAGGAGAAATGAACGAAACTGGTGAAAGATTCGCTAATCTATGTGCTTTCAACAAAATGGTCATAGGGGCACAATATTCCCCTACAAACACATACGTAATGTCACACGGATTTCACGGAATCACATTACACAGAACCAAATCGATCATATCTACATCACTAAAAATTGAAGAGGGACCATGGAGAACGTCAGAACCAAGAGAGGAGCTGACATGGCTTGAAATCATCACTTGTTAGTGGTCATGATGAAACTGAAACTCAAGGAGCACTGGACAACTGGTCAAATATCTATAACTTAGGCATGTTCTGAGGTTCTAAGACACAAGAAGCACTAAAACAAAGAATGGATCTCTCTTGATACGCTGGTTAAGATTAAAGAAATGAGTTACAGGAAGACAGCAATCAAAATCAACCGAACAAGAGCAGAGAAAGCCAAGGAACAGGCCGAACACACAAAAACAAACAAGCAAGTGAAGAGGAATATCAAAGTTGATATTCGAAAGTATGTGGAAAATCTATCAGTGATAGTGGAAGAAGGTGAAAGAGAAGGAAACACTAGACAACTACACAACATAACGAAGTGGCTCACTAAGAAATATAGTACACCAGTACGAACAGTGAAAAGCAAGGAAAGCAAAAATTAATAACATTGAAGAACAACCAAACAGGTGGATAGAGCACTTTGAAGAACTCTTCAATCGACCAACCCCACTAAACCTACTCAACATCGAAAGAGAACTCACGAAGTACCTAACTAAAGTTAATCCACTAATAATTGACGAGATCAGCATGGCCATCAGAAAAATCAACAGCAGCAAAGCATCGCGACAAGAAAACATTCCAACAGAGATCACGCTACCTTCATCAGGATTTGGAATGAAGAACAAGTATCAACAAGCTGCGAAAAAGGACGCCTCACCAACATGCAAAAAAGGATATCTCAGCAAGTTTGAGAACCACGTAGGCACCACTCTTCTATCAATACCAGAAAAAGCCTTCAGCAGTGTTATTAAACAGGATGAAGGACGCTCAGTTTCGAGATCTAAAGGCTGGATTCCGACCAAATCGCAACATTACGGAGCATCGTGGAACAATCAATTGAATAGAACTCACCACTCTACAACAACATCATTGACTACGAGAAAGCATTTGATAGGGTAAACAAGATAACACTATGGAGGCTTCTGTGACGCTATGGTATACCTGACGAGATAGTCAACATCATACGGAATTCTTATGATGTATTCGACTGCAAAATCGTACTCGAAATCCTGATGACAGACTCGTTCGAGGTGAAGATCAGTGTCAAGCAAGGTTGCTTACTCTTACTTTTTATCTTTCTCCCGGTGGTCGATTGGATTGTGAGGTTGTCAACATCTAAAGAGAAGCACGAGAAACAGTGGACGGCTAGGATGCAGCTGGACGATCCGAACTTTGTGGATTATCTAGCTCCCCTAACCAACACACGACAACATATCCAGGGGAAGACGACAAACGTAACATCAGCCTCTGCAGTAGGAGGTCTCAGCATGCATAAGAAAAAATCAAGATTCTCCGATACAATACAACAGGCATCAGCAAAGTCATACTTGATGGAGAAGCTTTGGAGGATGTAGAAACTTACATATATCTGGGTAGCATTACTGATAAACCAGTTAGATCTGATGCAGATGTAAAGACATGAGTTAGCAAGCAGTGGCAATACTGCTACAACTGAAGATCATCTGCAACTCCAAATAACTATCAACCAACACCAAAGTCAGAATTTTCAAAACAAATTTCAAGATAGTTTTACTGTATGGGGTGGGAACTTGGAGAATTACGAAAGCCATCATGCAGAAGATACAAGTATTGATTAACAATTGTCTACGCAAAATATTTCGGATTCTCTTGCTATGCACCAGCAGTAACAACCTTCTGTGAGAGGAAACAAACCAGATCCTAGCTGAGGGAGCAATCAGGAAAAAGCGTTGGAAGTGAGTGGAACACACATCGCGGAAACCATCCAACTGCGTCACAAAACAAATCGTAGCATAGAATCCTCATGACCAAAGGAAAGGAGGAGAACACATTACAAGATAATTGGAAGCAGACATAAAGAGAATCAATAGCATTTGGGTAGAACTGGAAAGGTCCAGGACAGAATAAGTTGGAAAATCCTGGTCGGTGGCCTATTCGCTATAAGGGGTAACAGGAGTAAGTAATCTTTTAACCTTGTCTTTAAAACTAACTTTTCAAGTCACAAGGACAGAATTTCATGCTGTTCAATATTTTCTAGATATGTAGTCAAAATAAGTTACAAATTAAATTAAGACATCGTTTCAGTTCTCATTGGTTTTCAATTGACGTCACTTCTTAACGAAAATTACTTTCAAGCTAAACAAAACTTTATTCACCCCATAGTAAATAATAAAAATGCAATTTCGTCAATAGATTAACTATTTCCTTCTCTCTCTCTCTCTCTCTCTCTCGTAAACTTGTGTAGTCTACATCGAACAAATCACAAGACAGAAATATAGTTTAGATAGTCATATGCAGATTTTAAACAATCTATTTATAGTCTGTTGATTGATTGATCGGCTTCACACTACCGATCAAATGGTTATCATACATTGGGTACATTTTGTTCAATGTTGATCATGTCTTTGTCTGTGTTTCTTATTTATTCGATATTTTATCTAAAATAAAAATCATTAAAAGGTAATCACCTACTATTTGTACAAAACTAATTTAATATAACTAACATTTTTAACCACAACATTAAAAATATTGTCATTAGTAATACAACGAAAATTATAATTTAGATTGGTCAATAAGTAGCGACTACGAAAATCAGAATAGAATGAAGGTAAAGGATAACAGTCCAAAGTTTTATCAAGTAAAATTTACTGTAAACAGTAATATGGCACCACATGTGTAGAGAAGGAATATATATTTCGTTTGTATATGTTATGACAGATAGAAGTTCGTGCTGATGATGTTGTTCAGAAGAACAATGAAAGCTCCACAACCAAAACAACCAGCTCAGAGAACGAAACACCACCACAAGAATCCAAAATGTCTACTTCTTTCCATCTGAAGTACATCAGCTTGATATATCCACATTCCAGTTTTGATGTTCATATCAGAATTCAAACCTACGGCCTTACGTTTTAAACACTTGATGAGTAATAGAAATTTTGCACATTCCACTGATAAATTAATTAGTAGTTGTATTGAATATCTAGGTTTTCAATAACAATTACACAGTAACTACATTATAGTGATAACTTAATTTCTCTAAAATTTTTAGGAAACACCCTACAATGTGAAATTTCTACTGATAGTTCATCTCTAGAAAATATCACAAAAATATGCGAGTTTTTTTATTAGCTATACATTGCTGCTATTCTTTTCAAAGATCATTCATACATAAGAAATAAATATTCATTAATCTAACTTGTCAATTTTAAAGCAGACGTGCTCTCTATGAATTTCCTAATAGATTAGCAATGTAGTTTATCTTAACTTCTTATTTAACCGTATCTGTGGAGTAGGAAATTGGTTTAGAAATGAAACTTAGCTATCTTAATCAGCGAAATTAACGTGGATCATCCACTACCATTTTCATCGAGGGATGAAAAATGATTACTGAGACTAAGTTTCATAGTTACAGTTTACTTGCTCCCTGTTAGAGTCCGAAACGACTAACTGATGTTCGAACCGTGAAAGATACTATGGTTTCGTCAATAGTAATGTACTTTGTGATGTATTTACTGTTTAATGATTCTACAGTGCTTGTTTCATGAAAAATAAGATGTCGGATAATCATTGTTTTTTGAAGTTAGAAGTTTCGGCACTACGTCTGATATAGGATGATAAAGAATTAATTTATTCTAGGTGGAAAATCTTAACTCAGTAACATAGTTCATTACTTGATAGGTGGGTAATTGATGTAAGTAATTCTGTGTTATTTACATAACCCATATTCATTGCCCACATCAACCCCTGTTATCTAGTTCAGTAATAGGACAAGGGGATTTAGAACGATACACTACCATGTTGATTTCTGCGGTTTTTCTTCTTCAGTCGTACTGTGGTGTGAGCTACTTATAAGTAGTATATGACGTGAGTGTCAACGTAATGTCTGGCAGCAGAAGATGGGGGAAGATCAAGAAAGGAAGAGTTAGAAAACAATGGAATTTGTATGAAACTCATGAATAGTGACAATGGACTGATGTTTTGCAACAGGAACAGTCCAGTTCGATAGGATGGACTAATAATTTGCAAGTTAACGATTTACGATATAGTTTTCCTATTTTACTGAGTAACTCTGTAATTTTCGTTAAATACAATCCGGTTGAACCACCTGTGTTCTCATTCACTACAGTAGAATTCAACTATGAACCTTGTCGTTAGAACACACTATGAATTCTCCATTATATTAGCGTTAATTAATAATCCTGAGAGAGTATTAAACTCGTCTACTGGTCTTCATACAATTGCAAACAGTTTCATTGGCAAAAAAAAAAAAACAAAACAAAAACAGAGTAAAGAGAATCACTGGAATAATTTTCATAATTACAAAACAAAATACTGATTAAATATTCTTCAAAATATGGACACAAATATACAATCTTTTATAATAATAATATACAGAATAAAAAATATATTTATAGTAAGTAGATCTATCAAGTAGACAACAATTATCGTTTGTTTGTTTTTTTTGTGATAAAATGTAAACAATAATATATAATTCAATTCAATTCAAAGATACATGCTCCAATTACACATATACACAGACATGAATACATAAGCCAAGTATAGTTTGTTATTACTTATGATGGATGACATGAAATACAGGTGAGATTGTGTATAAACAAAACAAATAAACAAGACAAGTATAATACGATCATCAACAGATAGATAGATAGATAGATAGATGGAATACATAAACCTGCAGACAAAATGATCAACAACAAAAATACCATTTAATCATTAGTTTTTGATAAATGTTTGATCATACTGGACATGAAAACAAAGAAAAAGATCTAAATGAAAATAATAAATTATTATTAGCATAGGCTATTAGAAATCTATTTCACAGTTTAAAAGGCATCATGCATTTCTTTTAAATGACGAATACTGTAATCATAAGGCAAAGAGAATTCGAGATCTTTCAATTTAATCAATGACTGTAAAGTATCGTTGAATCCTGTTGATGTGAAAAATAAAACAGGAATTTAAGTAATGAACAATTAGAGAGAAAAACATTTTATTAAATAATATTTTACTTCGATTAATTTACGGAAACAATAATTTACTCTGAAAACAGTTAGTTAAACTGACTAACCATTCTGATTCAAAGTGTTAGTTAGATCCAATTCTTTAGGCTAGACACCTTAATTTAGTATCTTATGGTTTCCATGCAATTAAATTGTTTTGCATGAAAGAACGTGACATTGTTTGATCCCAAAAATGTGATTGAATAAACTCAGTCAATTATTTCGAGGTTGCCACTTTTTAAGTTGAAGGTTACCATTCACAAAAACAATTAACAGTATTTTTGAATGAGCACAGTTTTACATCAAAACTGTCATGAACAGTTCACTGACTTGCTTTATTTGGTAAACATTTGTGTAATGTTACGCATTTCTGTGTCATGTTCGGTGTTTTACTGATTATATTTGAAAAACAGGAACCATTGTAATTTCTACGAGAGTAAAAGATTGGTGCATGTAAATGTTTATTGATTGACTATAAAACTTGTCCGCAAAACAAGTCCATAAAATAAGTCGTCTAAAAACGTTATCATTAGACCAAACTATAAACATATAATATTGAATGAAGTTCATATTGAATCATTACAAAAAATATTAACCTAAAATAATATTACTTGCTTATCCCGTCATATTAATTTGTATATTGAGCCATTTGATAATAAAGAAGTTAAATTTGAAAAATTTCCATTTAAATAAAATGACTAATACAACGGAGTAAGAACAAAATTGTACCGAAAAATATTTGCACATGAGTTTTAGTAGCATCCAAATAAATAAATAACTTTCGTATCTAAAGTCTAATAATTGTCGAAGAAAACATAATTTCATATAGAGAATGTTGAGTCGATTATAGCATGTAACACTATGAGCCTCTGAATTTAATTTTTGATCCTATATCGAGAGAAACAGTAAGCTAACAGCATTCAACAATAAGTGAATAATAGTATTCAACAACTACAGATTATTAGTTTATAGAAAAAAGAAACATAGGCACCTCATGTAATTCATATCTGATTATCAATCGATTTAATATAATATCCGATCGATGGGATAAATGGTTATCACAGATTCCCAATTGTAGAGAAGCAGCTTTTGTTTATGTAAAACATAATCAGGTTGTGCTTAAAAAGAGCACCTTAGAAAGTCACCAGCTTCAACTAACATTTTAAAGGATCAAGCCCCGGGCTTTCGGTCTTGCGCGCGAACGATTAACTCAGGACCAGTGAGCGGGAACCGAATGGTGGTAATGTCTAATTTTGATCAATCCACAGTCTTACGCCTCCTCATCCACCATCTTCGATGAGCACTGCTCCATACCCGAACACGGCTGAACTCCATTGGTCACGACTTCTCAGTAGACTTCGAGGGGAATTTCTCAAGAAGCTAATCACTGGTGAGCATATGATAATTTGCATGATAGTCTTGGATGTGCACTATTGATGAGTCCCAAACCAGAACTAAACGACAGTTCGGTGCTGCCAGGTTTCTAATGCTGACCGATTCATGATTTCAAAAAGTAACTCAACAATTTCCACAACCCTATCATGCAAACATTTTGAAAGGCAAAACTATGCCCATATGAACATCACTATGACTAGTAACTAAAGTGCTATCTACATCATTATTATTATCATCAACAGCAACGTACAACTTCGTACGTAAGTACATCAGTTCAAGTTGCCATAGCACATTAGCATTATCTACATCCTAATTTGAGTATCCACCAAAACCATTGATCGATACATGGATCTATTATTTGCATTTTATTTTACTCAGTAGAAAGCTTTTAATAAATGATTTATATATATATATATATATATATATATATATATATATATATATATATATATATATATATATATAAATGTATATATTGGAACGTCAATTATATCAACAAGTTTATGCACATCATTCTTCAGTTTTAATGTTATTTGGTTGTGCCATTTAGAGTCTTTTGATGTGTGTTAGTGTTTATGAGCTTTAATACAAAATTCAAAAATAGATGACCTTAAATGGCATTGATTAATGCATACTGGAAAATAATCATCTATTTATGAATAAAATGTGGGTGATTATATGTTGTATGGTGTTAAAAAAGAATAATCATTTAAGCATGTATATTTTTAGTATATTCTAATTAATTTATAGAATAGTGACGGAGAACATAAATTTAACATGATACAGTTTAGCACTGTGATTTTATCGATCTTTTATGGTATGTAACTGATTTAAAAAAAAGGTTAAAAAATAAATGGGAGGATTAGAAGGAGAAATGGTGTTACTCATCGAATATCATCAATAGATTACTGATGAATAGATTTGTATGGAGACATTCTGTTTGGTAAACTTTTTATTAACAATCGTTGGTTCTTGTGAAACTAGTCAAAGAAACAGTGATAGTCGATCAGAGGTTAACGTAATAGTTCCTCCTAAAGAAAAGTAACATTTTCAACTCTAACAGAAATGTTTTAAATGTCTCTTTTTTACCTGACGACAAGGATATCCTAATAGGTTTCAAACATAGTTTGCAGAAAATATCAAAGTAAACAACAAGAAAAGCTTCAATACAGTCATCCCTGTTGAATAATCTGCTTGATATGTGATACAAACTACATGTAACGAGTGTATTGACAGTGATCAAAAAACCTTTTGAGAGCCATTTTAAGTAGGTTGTATAAATCTAATCTTTGTAGAGAAAAAGTAATGAGTTAACTTTCAAATCTCTTTATAACAGAAGTGAGCAGTGTAATAACTGAACATTTTCCATTCTTTGTTTAATTACAAGCACAACCCAGTAAGAACAACTAAAATTTATTTTTCTTTTTAAACCTCCAAAATTTTCGTTGTATTGATTGATAAAACTGTCTTAAATATTCTACAACTGTCATTCCAATGAATTTTTTGTACTCTGTATATAATGTGATTCTCAGTTTACTTTAAATTACATAAAATCTAGGCCTTGTCGCCAAATGTTAAGAATTCATTTTTCTAACTTATTTCTATTAATTTAGTTGAAATCATCAAGTTGAAGAATTTCAGTGATAACATTTACAAATTCTGACCAAAAGTATTTCATATAAAAAGAGTCTAATAATAACAGTTACATAAATTAAAAAACGCAGTTACCTGTACTCAAAGTATAACTCCATGGTTCATACATAGACTGAACAAAAGCATGATTTCGAAAGATCATTCTTAGCCAAGAAATTAACTTTCCTTCACTAATTTTAAAAATAAACAGAAAAAATTTCATAAAAACATGGTATGGTGTTCAAATAGACTTATAGAACATTTGAAATTCGACATTTGCTTCTCTATACAACAATAGACTAAAATGAATAAAGAATGATGAATCAAATAGGTCGAAAGTTATTTGGTTGCTGGAGTTATTGGTGCCACTTTGGTCAGATTCAGTGAATATTGCTGCCACAATTTCCTGATCTTTAGGAAGATAATCAATAAAGACGGACAAGAGAAAAATCTACTTTTCTTTACCTTTAAGAGAATGACATTCTTACTTCAACGCAATTAAAATCATTGTAGTGTTGCTTGTTAACTAGAATGTACGTATTCGAAATTAAAATTTTAGTTATTGTGTGTTGAATTGAACATCTTCATAACAGATCGGATAATATCGACAAACTTTTTCAATTTGCCATACATGATAATCTGTATTGGTAAATAATGTCGCAAGTAAAAAGCGAACAGATGAGGCAATAGTAAAACAAACAGCTGTCGACAGTATCATCTAAGTATCAGCTGAATATATGAACAACTACTATTGGCCTAGTTGTATGTCATTTATGAGCATTTATCTAAGCTTAAGCAGTCTTCTGGTATATGGTAATTTAGTGAAATTTAAGCCGATGTATAGTACAATGTTTCCATATTTCATGATATGTGTTCCATAAATAGACCATGTAGCTATATACGTAAACTACACCTAGTCCGAAAAATAGCTTCTTTAATTACCTGTACTTGGAGGTTCCCAAGTAGTAAGGAAATCAGTGAACTGGAGTAGATTACAATTATCAGTTTACAAATTATAATTCAGAGGCGTGGTTGGATCAAAGCCACTATGTACTCAGGAAAACAGCCAACTTGACCAATATTTTAGCGGTCTCAAAACCGAAAAACTAGTCTTAGTGTCGGAAAACTGGTTAAACTGTTAAAAATATATAATAAACAGAGTTTTCCCAGGTACAAACATGAAGCTTTTGTACTAGGTTCTTATCAGCTACTTTCAGCCTATAACATTTAAAAATGAAGCTCCAAAGCGAGTTGAAAATGTTTGGATCAATCAAGTTGGTTGGATATAAGTTAACATTAACTAACAACAAAATTTTTAGCTCACTTTATAATTTTGATAGAGAAATATTACAGGATGTATTTAGTAAATAAGAACCTAATAAAATAAAATGAATCTATCTTATTCCACTACCCTTGTTTTTTCGATTTCATCAAGGTAAGAGAGGAAATTATGTTCATATTTTTCATGTCTACTACATCTAATAACTTTGGTGTTATAATTGCTTTGTACCTTATACGTTTCCTACTTCAACAATAATATGAAATGTGACATTTTGACCTGATATACATTTATTCGAAGCCTTAAATTATTTACGTCTGTGCGCCCCTCGATTATCTGGAATGGAATAAAAAGCATTTAGTTTTCTCTTACTGTCTATAATTAGTACTGATATGATCAAACAAGCACTAAACACGATTAAACGGTTTAAACAGGTACGTACTTTGGTTTTCTATATGTAACAGAGCGATAGTTTTTCCAATTCGGAATCAAAAAAATTATTTATACAAACTGATCAACCTCCTGTTAATGGAATGAGTCAGTTTATTTGTTTGTATAGGTTTGTAGCTTGAATAGTTTAACAAGATAATACCAATATTTATGAATTATAGTTCCAACTTGTTTGTGTGCTCGACAAATGTGTCCAAAACACTTGATATTGGTCTACGATTTGATATGAATTATAAATTCTAAATGTTAATTATCTACTGCAAGTTTGCACGAATTGGTAGCACCATACTTTGGTCAGGTACTTCTAGTTATTCCATTAAAGCGATAGCAAATATTCGCAACCATTAGTGTTATCAAACATTTCAACAATATTAAAGTAACAGTTGGAATGGAAACATATTATTTAGTTTCGGTAAACACCCTTGACTACTCGTTGAATCAAACTAATTACTCTAAAACACGATTTTCTATAGAGCCTTCAATAAACATTAAGGTAGATCTTCACGAGGGACCTAAGGATTCTTATGATTATTACATTACATTATCTGAAAAGCAATGACATCCAGACAATAGAAGTGGTTATATTCGATAAATTATAGCTAATATGAGACTTTTCTACAATGTCGCTAATTGGTAACTGCCGTGCAGTAACTTTTCAATTTCCATACAGAAGAAACATAAACGATTGATAGAGGTACAGCATTCTCGTTCAGCCACTTTCGTCATATGAGTTAGTTGACTTAATTTCATACTTTAAGGTAATTCAAAATCCACTTGCATTACTTACAATTAACCTGTATTCACTATTTCTGATCTTATTATTGGGTTTAAATATAAAATGGTCTACAGAAGTTGATCGTTAGCTTTTCGGAAACAGTTTGTATAGTGAGTCTGTTACTCAACAGTAAGAAAAACAGTTTTCTCAATCACAGACTGATTACCAAAAATTTCACATCATCAAGGCTAATTATAGTAAATGAAATGATTAAAAATATGGAATTGAAATTCCAAACAATCTTAGACGAGAAAATAATTAACTATTGTCAATCTGTATTTCAGAAATCTGTGAGAATTTGCAGCTCAAAAGAAAAATAATATTCAAGTCTCAATATTAACACCGATGAAAGTTAGATGAAGTGATTTTTCAAAATAGTTTATATATATCATAATATGTCAGTCAAACATAGACAACAAAGGATTTAAAACAGATGTACGTCGACCAAAACTGTTTATGGAAAAATTTCTAATACATATTTTTAGATTATTCTTTTATAGAAGTCTAGATAAAAATACTTACTTAAGTGCAATACTAATAAATGCCTTGAACTTTGCATCTTTACTGCGTTTGTATGCCACGTGACCCTGAAGAACGTTACCCATTGCACTGAAGAATTTCTAGAAAAAAATGAAAGCAAACATGATCTATTAAGTTTTGATTAGTTGAAATCGAATGTTCAAAGAACAGTTGATAATTATTAATATGCAACTTCTTATCCTTTGAAATTTCCTTTTAAATACTATCTACCTGTATACTTATGAAGTGTAACAAACAGTAAACGTATTCAATCGATAATTATGCTACAAAGATTCTCCTATCGATCAACTGAAATTAGCAACGATTGTAAAGTTACTAAAATGTAACCTATGAGCTTATTCTTAATACTCATATCACTGAATAGATCTTACCACGTTGTTTTTCCATCCGACTAAGTAGCTATAAAGTAAACTTTATTTATCGAACTCTGCAAGCATATAGGCGCATACACTAATCACACTGAACATTTAGTGAATGTAACGGCGAAATCAAATATACTAATAATTAAACATGTTCCCAAGTACACAATTCCAACTGTTCGAAATCCATAAATGTTTATTGAGTGTTGAAAATATAACTGAACGATAAATTCACCATAATGATGAATAATTTTGATGCGGAAATCATGATTCAAAATGCAACAGGAAGAATGACTATTTGACTTAATGACTGATTTGAGGTTTTTCACATTACATTTGTAGCTGAAATGGCTCGATAAAGAATTATTCACCGCAACTTCATGCTGATTAATGCTTATCATTTAATTGTAAGTGTAACCTGAACGACAAACAATTCCAATGAGATAACAACCAATATTTTCCAAATTCAGAGTCAGTATACAGTGTTTAAGAAGTTGACTAAAGAAACATGAATAGTTATGTGCTAGCATTCCATTAAGTCTTTTAAATTATTGTCTATGCTACATCAATTAACCAGTAGTCTTTCCTTATCACTGAATTCTTAAACATTACAATCATGGTTGTTTTTTGCTTTAGAATATTATTTTTATGCCTGAAGATAGTCATCCCTCGGTATTAATCTTAAATATTTCTTTAACACAAAATTATATTCATGAATAAGTACAATTACTATTCAATATAACTGCATATCTACTAGTCAAATTATATGCTTAGTGTAAGTTACTTGTCAATTTTCTTTACTTTTGTTCTGCTTTGGTGTTTACTACCTAGAGATGTGGCTTATAAGCAGTGCGCAGCAGAGTGTCCCTCAGGATTGACTGCTGAACAAGTCGCAGATTCAGGTGTACGGAGTGACAAAAGTGTCTAGGGGACTAGAAGATATGTGAAAGAAGACAGCAAATAATCTGTTTCTTCTTTTTCAAATCGAAGTCTAAAGACAAGATGTACACATTTATGCTTGTAAACTGTGTCTTCTTCTGCTCTTGACGTCTTCGTCCATTACACTACAACCCCAGTGGTTAGTTAATTAGACGACTGTTTTCTTTTTTTAATAATACTTCATATATTTGCATAGTTATACAAATGTGATAAATTAAACTACTGAATTACAATAATTGATTTGACTAAATGAGTGAATCATCATCAATACAAACCTACGTGAATTAGTTAATTGGCCATTCACTTTGATATCAGTAATTTAAATAAATCTATTCTATCGTTTAGAGATAATAATAATTACGAGACAATCATTTAAGGTATAGTAGAGATGCAGTTTAAAAAGTGCAAATATTAAAATGTTAACTAAACACCTGTTTATGAATCACCAATTGTTTTTATATTGAAGGTAGGTAAAGTAAATGGTATTCACCACTCTTAACTAATATACTATGTGGCTTATACAGTAAACATAAGTCAAGTGAAATTGGATTTTATTGATAATTTTCAAAACTTTAACAAAAATGCAAATTATTTTCGGTTCGATCGTTTTTTGTTAAAACAGTTTAATGTCTAAATCATACAATCCTTGTACATACTATATCCGGTTAGTAGTAAAGAAAAAAATCTAAGACAATTTCATGTAATTTTTCACCCTAAGAACACCTTTTGTAAACGTTTAGATTGTGGACTGTGACTGTACAATTTAGGTATAATTTAGTCTTGGACCTAAACTATTGATGACTTATAAATGGTTTGATCAGTCTTTTGTCAGACAATAAAGAAACAGTCTTCGTAGAGAAGGAATATTGTCGAATTTACCACAATTAAGCCATCGCAGCGGTTACTTCTAAATGTCGAAATGTGATACGTTTGATGTTGTATATCAGTTACAAAAGGAAACGAGCATACAGATAGAAAAAAGAGTCAAATGATTTTGGATTATGCAATGTCAATGTATCAGGATTGAATAAGACAAAAGACAAATTCTCTGATTTTAGAAAGTCAAAGTGTTACTTTGGTTTTCTGTGCTGAATCGAACAAAGAAGACAAGGAAGATACTTATATCTGTCACATAAAAACGGATAATAATGCTAACAGATTTAGTTATTTATGTTGATAGACTGCCAAAAGATTTTTTTTTTTTGAAGGTTCATTATCTAGTGAAGTATCTGAAGTTCGGTAAATTCATCATCATATTGATCATGTGTACATGTGAAGAATTAACTTATAGAAATTTTCAGTGTACAATTTAATTTGAATAAGTATTTTCACTGGCAGACAAATGGATGACACATTACACACACTGATCGATCCACTGAAAAATTATCATGATATCATATATGAAGGTTAAAAAAAATTAAACATGATTTTAAAATCCATTTTACAGACCTGACTTTTTCAACAACAATAAAAATACTATTTAATTTAGTGTGTAATTTGAAAAGATTAAAAGCTTTTATTGATCACTTGTTACCTGACGATTAGTAATTGTTTTACCATCAACTATATCTAAATCAAAGCTTTCACAAAGTTTTCTCGCTGGAGATTCATTATATCGTGGACCATTCTGAAAGAGAACAAAATTAATTCAGTCTATATGCATATATACTGATAATAATAACAGTAATAATAATAATAACAGTGCATAATTAAAATAATCAGGCATCTGCATTCTATTGAAAATGGACATTTATCTACAGCAACAAATTGTAGTATTCAATGAATTTCAACTGCACAATATGCGTTTAAATAAAGTAGGTAGTCATCAAAAATTAACTTGATGTTTCTTATCTTGTAAACACTTTTTTAATTAGATAACCGTATTCCTATTTTTTAAAAAAAAAGAAATTTGTAATTCTTTTCCAGTTTAAAATTATTCACTGAGACAGTAATTTAAATTCATAGAAAAATTTAAATTAATTATAAGTATTTTCTTTTTCTCATTAAGAAATATTTTGCTATTGCAATATTTGTGTTAAAGTTGTCTAGTACATGAAGTTATAAATATTAGACATTTATTCTTTATTTAATTCAACAAATCGTAATATTATTTCTATGATGATTCTATGAGAATTCTAGTGATTCAACAAATATTTATTTCGGATCTATGACTAATGAAAACAATTCTATATTGAAAAGAAATTGTATGAGAAATTAGTGTGTTTTTCAACAAACCTAATAAGACCGTGAGATAGATAATACTAGAAAAAAATTTACTACACTAATATGCAGATTCATCAAATTAGGTGACTATGGTTGTAATACCTTGATTTGTTAAGTAATTTTCTTTGGTAAATTTGTAAAAATAAATTAAGCATTTTCCTAACAATGAATTTATTGGAGTTATCATTAATTCACAGTGAAATGGTGTACAATTAAGTTGAAAGAAAATCGAATACTGTTTCCGATTCAAAAATAACTTAAACTCGCGAGACTATTTAAATCGAAAACAAGTAGTCTACAACTACATTTTAATAATATGAGTGACTATGTAACCAATTAATCATACTTCATTGACTGCTCTTGAATTCTATGCGGCTATTCGCAATAAAGACCTAACGCTTCACTGTAGTAAACTGATTAAACTGTTATCCGGTTTTCGAATAAACTTTATTTAGGAAATATATTTTAAATATGGACAGAACCAAATAAAAGTAAGTTCATTGAAGAAAATTCTAATCGGAGGATGAACATTTAAGTGAATTAAAATAACGTGGATCAGGTTAATTAATACAAAGACGTCTCCCTAAAACACAAATATTGAGCATTTCAGAAACTCCATCCTAATATGTATGTGCATTATTCAATATAATCGGTCTTAAAAATACAGTTAGAATGGGAAAATATTCGATTACATTTTATTTTCACTCACTTTAATTTGATAAAAACGCATCAATACATCCCATGCATGAATTCCTAAATCATTTGAATGATGAGGTACTGATGATGATTTTGTACTGATATAATCATTTGATGGATCATTCAAATCTAAACATTCAAGTTTATCCTCTGAGTGATTTCTTGATCTTGAATCTAAGCAGTTCAAGATAGGACGAAAGAGGAAAATACTTCGTTTATTTGCTAAGCCCAAAAGAGAATTTTCATCGATTTTCGGTAAAGCTTTCTTTATAAGACCATGTTCAATGAGGTCGCGTAAAGCAGGACAGAAATACCGACGAACAACATGTATAACAGTGCGTTCAGCTTCAGTATACAGAAACTTGAATTCGATTTATAAAAAAAAATGTAAATGGCAATAAAATGTTGAATTCATATTACAAATTATTAAGTAATGTAATAAAAAGCCTCCAAACAGTATCTAAAACTGTAATTTCATTTCTAAAAAGTAATATTAGCTTTAGACTAAATAATAAATACTGTAACCTTTCAGATATACTAAGGATTGATTTAATTATTTTATTCAATGAAATAAGAGGAAAAGCGTTACAATTGAGAATAGCATAATTCACAATAAATTATTTAGGGTTAATTTTGGTGGTGCTATATTTTACTATTTGAATTATCGAATTGAATCAAATACTATACAATAGGAATAAAGTGGAATATTGTTACCTATAATGAGAAGCTGAGTTGCCATGGTAGTCATAAAAGCAAATAATCGGTCCATCAATTGTGCTGTCCGTTTCAATTTGATTAAACCTATCATCTTCATACCACTGCACTCAGTATGTATGAACCAATCACTTATTTCCTGTGTATGAGTATTTGGAATGCTCGTCTATTACTTAGTCGTAAGAGATTTGAGAGTCCTTGTACTCGCTTGTTGTGAGAGAATTCAGATCATCGTGCAACTGTTGTTTTTAGGTCATTCCAAAGAAACTTCACTATAACTCTTACTTTTATTACAATCTTTATAGACAGCATGTTAGCTAAATGAGCATAACATGTAGCCTTTAAATCATATTATCTCGGGTTTTCGTTTGATTCGCCTGGTATGCATTGCTTCGATTAATTACTGAAACTTTAGCTAGTAAAAGTGCACGTGAAAATGCACAACTAAATGTAAAACTATTTGAAAAAAATCATAATATTCTGAAATAATCAAAACCAAGCGTAATTGATTGTTAGTGAAAAAAAAAGCCAAAATATGACTTCATTACATCAAATATAATCATGGTATCTAGCATCATGATTCAACTATCGTAAATGAAACTTGGAATTCTGAGAGTATGATATCACTAAATATCATATCAAGTGACACTTAAAAACCCTAACTCAGTATTTTATTCTTTGTACTGGTATGTATTTCATTAATCTTTGTGTATTTTTTTAAATTCTCTAGGAGAAATGTCGTTTTTCGTCTGTTGTAACATTGTGGTGCGAGCTACTTATAAGTAGTATATGACGTGAGTGTTAACGTAATGTCTGGCAGCAGAAGATGGAGGAAGATCAAGAAAGGAAGAGTTAGAAAACAATGGAATTTGTATGAAACGCATGAATAGTGACAATGGATTGATGTTTTGCAACAGGAACAGTCCAGTTCGATATGATGAACTGATATTTTGCAACTTAACAATTTACGATATGGTTTCCGATTTTACTGAGTAACTCTGTAAATACAATTCGGTTGCCCCACCTTTGTTCTCGTTCACTACAACGTGACGAGTGTTAGTAACATTAAACTTTAAGAACTACCCAACCTAAAAATATTGTTTATATTTTCGTTCTTTAATTATTGAATGCTTAAATTATTGAGTATTCTCAGGTTTCTAAACTTTATCCTGACCTACATACTGTTGTCATATGTTGTATCTTTCTCGAATCAATGTTAATTTATTAAGGAACTATTATTTAGTTCATTTTCATTTATCAAGTAGTTATGCTGTTATTGTAATTTTTAATTTATGATGATATGTGGTTAGGATTTTATTTTATATTACTGTATGAATTTCATTCAAAACTGAACTAAAAATAATAGAGAATTAATCTAATTCTTACTTTTATCTTCTAATTGGCTACTCGATTAGGAGGAGCTTAAGGATTAACAAGCGTTAACGTCATGATTGTGGTTCATTTTTCGATATATTAATTAGTAAACAGGCTACCAGTTCTACTGGCAATAAAGATGAACTAATAGATAATGGGAACGTAGAGAGTAGTCATTCAACTGCTTTTCAACCAATTCAACCTAATAAACAACCTGCTGTTTTTTCCAGTATAACACAACTTAGTTAAATTCGATCTATTGTTAAATATATCACTGAAAATACACTTACCTCTGATGTTTCACACTGGTCGCTTTCTACGTCATCATTATCTTCTGTGCATGAAGTGAGTTCATTTCTATCATTATACAAAGTTGAATGTGAAAACATTTGATCTGGTCTTCCACCATATAACATTGCACGTAAACTGGCATCATGTAAATTCTGCACAGGCAAGGCAATTTGAGTACCTGGAACTTCATCCTGACTAAAATGTTTACGTGTTGATGCATAGGGTCTAATCATACTATTATGTGTAGGTATACTAGCTTTACCATCTGGACTTTCACGTCCTAGAGGAATTGTATGACAATTTTCTGGTTGTGTTGTACAAGATTGAATTATATTTGGTATTGTATGATATGTAGAGTATAAATTGGCCGATGATGTTTTACTTAGTTTATAAGTGTTAAGTTCAACTACTTTTTCTTGAACCAAATTTATAGCAACTTCAAGACGAGCTCGAATCGTTCCCCAGTGTTGGGCTTTGGCTTTCTCTACCGTAGCTGAATTCGATTTATCGACTAAAAAAAAATGTCGACAACAATAGTAGATTGGTTTATTTTGGAAAAGAGAAAATGCAGATTACTACTTGTAATGAACATTTCTTTAAAATAATAACTAAATGGTCATTCTTCTTTTGAGCGATGACGTTTCACTTGAATGTTAGATCACTTGAAATACTTTTATTGACATCTGGACCCAGCCAATACCATTGACAATCAAATTATATTTTTAAAACTCATACACACTCACCATAGAACACTTGATCTATAATAATTAAGATAGTCATTCAGTTTTTTTTTCGAAGACAGTTTTCATCACGAAATTATTATCCAAGATAATACAAGAAATCTGTACAATATCACTGAACCAATATGACGTTTCTGATATATTATTATACTACTAATAAGTAACTATTATTTTCCTGCTTATTTTTGACTAAGCGACTTGTTGATACATAATTTAAGTCTCTTTTACAGATTAAACTGAAATCGTAAACATACCATTTTCCCTTCCTTTCTGTGGCTAAGATTTAGGCATTTTCATATGTGTTATCACATAAAAAGCTAGTTTTTTTCTAAATCTAATATTTATTTATTTTATAGCCAATAGCTGCATACATATACCGAGAAGTTATGACTTTTCTGGTTTCTTACTTCATTTGTAACAATCAATATTCGTTAAAATTAGGTCAGCTAAGAATAAGTTGACTAATGAAAAAGATCATAAACGCTGCCTGAGAAATTTTCCCGGCTGATGCTATGAATTTCTAAACCCCAGTAAATACGAAGTAGACGAAAATTGAGAAATACGAAAATAAGTAGCAAGGATACATCACAACTGGAAACACAATATCAATAAGGTGTCTAAAACCTAAAAATAGAGATAGACTGAATTTAAACATTTTACTGTAAAGCTAAAATATTTTCGAATCTAATCTTAATATAGCTAGTTACCTAAATTTTCGTGTAAGATAGCTCGTTCTGAACAGTATTAATTTACAAATTAACCGTGTGTCCAAATTTATGGTTTGAAATGCCTAGACACTGCTCATTCATCTATTTTACAACATGTCAACTAATAAATTATACTAGCGGAAGCATATTTTAATACACTAACTGTCTTACAAGAGCTTGAAGACTAGTAAAACAGTACTGACGATTTAAACTACAAAAATGCGATACAGCCATTACTGTTAAGTTCTGATCTAAATGTGAACCAGTTTTACAATCCTTCATGTCTAAACATAAATTATATACTTCAATCAGTTCGCTAAATCAGCAACTGAAAATTAGGTCATTATTTTTTCCACCTTACTAGAAGCACTAAAATGCAATTATTCAACTGGCATATAGAGTTAGTTGTAGTTATTAAAATAAATGACTCGAAAAATATAATTACAGATTACTTTTTACAAAATAAATTTCTTTAGAAATTTTAACTATTGATGAGTTATAAAAAAAATTATGATCAACATATTATTACATGATAATATTTTTACTTAATAAGGCATCAACGGAAAGATAAGTATTTTGCATTGAGTAGATTACTTTTAATGAACTATGAATATTCTTTTCAATAGAGTGTTAAACTGAAAACTTCAACCAAAATTGTTATTTGCTTTTTAGCTCATAAATGGATGAACTACATGATTAGCGAATTTTTAACAAAAGAAATCATCAGAATCTGATGAAAGATAACAGTAGACACTGAATGATTATTCGTCAATTATTTAATAAAATACACTGATCATTATTAACATCCATTCAAAAATTACTCGAATGTGTTGCCTTATTTTGTAAAAGTTACGTGTTTTTGTCAACCAACTGTACAAATAAGCATTAACCACAAAGTTGAGTCATAAATTCAACCAGACACTAAATTTCTAACCTTTATGAGTTGGATGTTTATTCATTTTGAATTTTGTCAGTAATGTATCTGGATCTTGACCCAATTGACTTGCTGCAAATAGGTTGAGAACAACGATAGCTCGTTGAATGAGACTAACTACAGTGAGGCGAGATTTCTACAATAAGCATAAAGTATATACATATTATATCATAGTAAATATAATACAAAAAGAAATTTGATTATTAGCGATACTCAACAGTAGATAACTCAATCATGTCAACAATGTAGTAACAAAGATTTGTTGTACTAGGTTTACCCAGTAAAAAGTTGGATTTTTAAAGTTCGACTGCTGAAAATGTTTACAAGAATAATTTCCTAACTTAATTTCTTTTTCACTACAACAATTTATAACGTATAAATGTTTAAATACCTTTTATTTATTAGTTAAGATATATCCTAAAACTAATCATAATTGAATAGTAATACAAGGTAATATTACACTTGTGAAAAAAGTAACACTTATATTATTTGAATTTAAACTACAATAAAGGAGTGATTAATTTATGAAGAATTCAATAACATAGTTAATAAAAGATTATAAAGTCTCTTCTACAATATTGTGAATCATCAATGTTCGACAATAATAATGACGACAGTAATAATAATAATAATAATAATAATGTTCGAAATATAGCATACATAGTAAACACAAAAATAATTTTACTTCCAATTTTCAACATTGATACAAAATACAAACAATTAGGATAGATGGACTGGATCCAGCGTATCCATCTCATCTTATCTAGGTCTCATCAGCTGATGGCTGTTGCACCTCATTACTGATTTCCCCATTGAGACGTAAACCAAGTTTATTTCAACGTATTATCTACCGATTAAAATTTGGCTGACAAGTTGCATATAGAAAGAACCACAATTCATAGATTCGACTACTAGTTAGCGTTTATCTACTTTATAAAACTAGTGAAAAATAGCCATGTCGAGAGAGTTCGTACAGAAAGTATGGTCACGAACAAACTGTAATCAACATTCAGTCCTGAATACCTACAATAAGAATATTCAAAACCACATTAATAATGGTGAAAATGTAATATCTTCTAAAAAATTTACTTTGTTATCACGTCTTTCATTTTGTCCATGCTTTAATTCTTGTTCTTCAGTAGTTGTCATATCCTGAGAAAAGTAAGAAAAAGGAGAAGCTTAAATATAACTTATTCTTTCGTCTTCATAAATAATTCAAACTAATATGTTCTGTTAAACAGTTAATATTATTTAAAGCATATACAGCAAACATGTAAATTACTAGGAGACAACAAAACCAACAATAAAAACAAAATTCACACAATAAAATTTAGATAAAATGGAATAAACATTTGTTGAAAGACAACACTGAGTGCACACACACACACACCCATACAAATGCAATAATACACAAGACAGTTATTTCTAATCAGTAAGCGCAAACATTACGTCTACGATTTGAATAACTGAACAACTTGTAGATGATTTATTGACTTTTTACCAATTTATGACTTTTATAAATACATTACAATCAGTAAGCATAAAATAAAAATTCATCTTTCAGTATACTACACATTATTTGTAAGTGCACAATTTAAGGAAACTAATGAATCAAAATAAAATCTAAATAAAAAAGCTTCAAATCCGATTAGAATAAACACAAACGTCATTAGTGTTAGCTTTACAAAATTAGAAAAAAACGACAACAACATCAATTCAAGCTGAACACATAGATAGAGATAATACCTCTAAATAGGCGTCAGCGCCATCAACATCATCATCACTTGCATGACCATGTTGATAATCTGAATGTAAATGACGACTATGTCCTAATTGTACACCAGGCTGAATGTGTGATGAAAAAGTACTACTATCGTCTAGATCAATATCATCATTATTATAATCATCATTTTGTGTATGTGATCTCTTAGAATAATTACAACACGATGGTGCTTCACAATTCGCTGATAAATGTTGATGTGTACGCTTGAAATCAGCTAATGCTTTAGCTAAAGCTTCACTACATGCACCAGAGCCTAAGTGAAAAGGTAATAAATTAATAAAAAACAATAGGATAATATAATATGACAATAAAATAATACAATTCTCAAACCAGTATAGTTTTTAATATTAACAAATGGCGACAAGTTGGAAAATTTTGAAAAAAAATGTGATAAATAATTAATATTTCTCAAAATAATTTTATTTTTAATTAAACTATTGCATTAAATAATGATGTGTAGATCAGTAAAGGAGAAGGTTCATAGATTGATACCACTTGTTACACATTATTCTTTTAGTCATTGTCACTGTAAAATTACTATTATGTTTGATGCAAACTATGTAAGTTTGATAAATTAAATTTGATAGTTACAGTTTAACATTATCGATCAATTCCTGAAATTAAATCAAATTTGTCATATACAGTTGTTTCTCTATATATTTACTTCCGATCATGTATACTTTTTATTTAAATAACTAAAAATACTAATCTCTTGGTGTATTCTTAATATTAGTGTATGTCATAACTTTTAGGTAAGCCTAATCAATCTAAACAATACTTGATATTCATTAATCTGTCAGATTTTCCTCATCGCAGTATGCAGTATGCAAAAAAGAAGATTATTGACTTGTGGTATAAATACATTAGAATAAATTGAAACTGAATGGATATTAGTCAAAATTTATTGTTTATTAGAAATTATACATTTCTATCATTAGTGTACATCCATGAATAGTTTAATAAATAAAACTTATTTCTTTAAATAATGCTGAATTATATCTGTCAAGGATTTGTACTTTCCGGTTGTTGACGCTAAGAAACGCAATTGTACACACTTAGTGAATTGCCTCAAAATATGCATTTGATCAGATGCTTATAGAAGTCATATTATATCACTAATAACCAACATTCACCAACTCAATAAATGCTTCTTAGCTATCTCATAAAGTATTGTTGTTTTTCGTACGATCTCTTTACTTTTTGAAAATGGCGATGGCTTTGTTCAATAAACTAAGATCCATCAAACGTTAGAAGCGATTGTTCATTAGTAGGAGAAATGAATATCTATAATTGACAAACGGCTTGCCCACAATGATTTTGAAAAATTTCGGATTCGATTTCAATTTTGAAAGCTAGGTAGTACAATTGAGTAATCACTTGATACTACTTTATTACAATTGGTAGCATAAGCTAAATAATGTTACAGTTGTAGGTGGTAACAGATCTCAACATGACAAACCGATAAATGAATAAAGCTAAAGTTGTATTCATAGTAGAGAATGATTAGTCAATCAAAGATGACTGAAATAACAAAATGATTTCACCTAAACAGCTATTGAAACTTAAGAAACAAGTAGAAGTTCATTCGTCCTATTTTGACAGTCATCAAGTAGTACACACTCACAACTTGTTCATGGTGTGTAAAGCAGGATGAGAGAGTCACTTTAGGCTTCCTGATACTTAATACATATTCACCTAAAGCCTCCACATGTATTCTACCATGATAATTAAATCAAATGCAACGAATTCCGTATTAATTGAGATGTATTTACTGAACAAGTTGGAACACTGCATATCATTGAGTTTTAAGAGCAGATTACTGTAAAAACGAATCTTAAACACATGGCTAATGAGTATTTAAATGATTTTAAAAGTACGCTAAGCAATTAAAAGGTTTATTATTTACATTGTACAATCTTATCACACTGTCGTTTGACACCATAAAACAATGATAATATGATGGATAGGCTAAGAAGTCATTAAAAGTTAACTTTATTTAAACTATAACTAGTTGAATGTTTACATAAAATTAGATCTTAATAATATAACCAAATGAATTATAATACAGCCAGGTGTTTAAATTAGCCTCCACCAAATAAAATATAAACTAAAAAATATATGTAAAAGTAAAATTGATTCTAGCCAAAGTACGTACATATTTGGAAAAATATAAGATCTCGTAAACAGAATTAGTTAGTAGTAATGATAACAAAAGATCCATCAGTACGGCGTATGCTTTGAAACATTTATTTTTCACTATCAGTCAAAAAGTGGTGGACATATCGACGACCAGCTCTGAACATGGTAACATATTCTTGCACATATATATACATACATACGAATAGGTCGATACTGATCAAAATGTGATTCCCTAAAATGACCTTAAATAACCACCTACCACTGAAAAATTACAAACCCGCATTAAGTTTTATGATCATACGTAGAGGTACTCAAGCTAATTTACGTTATAATTCGATTAATTCTCATCAAACAAGATGAAGACAAGGTCAGCACAAATCTGTACTGAACAAATAACGAGTAATATTACAGTTAAGTTCAACCGTAAAAATGTTTTGTCAGATTCTGAAGCACCTAAACTAAATAACATCTAAGCTAACAGAAACGTGTGATCACTAATTGTTACGTCAAACATTTTTTCACACTGCTAGAATGGTCTTTTAAAACTGAATTATTTTATCAATCTTTTGATCTTACAGTTGGATAGATTGGCTTATTTGTCAATTCCTCAAACTAGTTTCATTATAAAGTATTTTTCAATTGACCTGTTAAATAAAATTGAGAACTTCGAACGATATTTTTTAATCTTAACTGATTTCCTGAGGTTGAATTATTTAAATTGAAACATTTTTAGCTAACAACGTTTTGGAAATAAATTTTTAAAGTTAGTAAAACAGAGCCAGTACAGTTGATTGATAAAAATTTAAACTTAGTACACAGTTAAAATGGTAAAGACAAATAATAACATTAAGAGCCGTACAAAGAGAAAAATAAAGTGCTTAAATCATGCTTGTGATAAAAAGTATTCATTCTCATTGAAATGATGAATTGATCAATGTTAAACCGTCATTGGAAACCTGGAAGCACTGAATGACCGGATAGATTTTCACTTCTTCAGTTAATATTTATCAAAGTTTTTCGTGAATCATGCATACAGTCAGGTCCCATGAATAAATTTATTTTCGGAAATAAACGATTTAGTAGCAGTTCAGATTAGAAATTGTTAAACTTTGTCCTTTCCTTAATGAATCGTATGTTAAGTAGCCTTTTTATTCGAAGTTAACTATCCAGTTACTGATTCAGGATTTTTCATTTAGTTTAGTAATAAAAAAATAACTTAGATATTCTTCATTTCTATATATACAACACTAGTCATAATAAAACCTTAATGGCTTAATATATTATCCTCCCAGTGAAATTTCTAATTAATACTTCTAAGGGTAAAGTTATAATTAACGTTGTTATATTATCTTTAATAAAACTTCAAAACTCTACTATACAACGAATTGTAGATGAACATCTTTTCTCATCTGTCAGTTAAATTTTAGGCAGAGATGGACGGTGGCCAGCAGTGAAATTCAGAAAACTCATCTCATCCTATCTCGGATTCATCAGCCGGATGTACCTGCATTCAGAAGTCGATGTCCACTCCAAAATTCCAACTCAGAGCAGTTCGTTTTAAATGCCATCGCGTTATCCACTTAGCTAATGAGTTAGTAACCGATATATAACAGCTGAATTACTATTACTTAGTTACAATTCGAATTATCATGATGTTTTTATTCAGCACTGAATTTTGATAATTCTATGTTGACATGGATTTCTAACCTGAACGGATTACCTTAGTATAGTTGTGTTGTTGTAAACGTTAAACGGTGGACAGAAATAAAGTTCAGAATGTTCATTTCGTCCTACTTGTCACTCGTCAGCTGGATCGTTATGTTACCAGTTCTTATGTTTACGCTGTGTGTCAACAGATCCAGACACGTGTACAAAGATGGGAATATTTGCATAGCGTTTGTGTCATTGTTATTTGAGTCTCAGTATTCTGAATCACACGAATATATACGTGATAAAGCAAGAAGATAATTTAGGCTGAAATCATATTTTTAAAATGAAAGCAGAAAGTTTTAATATGTTCATTGTAAGTCACAGGTTGTAAAGATGATTCATTCTACAACTCTAAAAGACCGCTTTTTCTATACACAAAATAGATTATAGTGTTACAGCATTTCAATTTGTTCAATATTCAATGTTTTTAATTGAAAATAATGATTTCAGATTAAGAAAGTTTCGAAAATAGTTGTCAACAAAATTCTGAATCAAATATACCTCTGAACAGACAAACTAACTTGAATCAATAAGTTTTTTCATTCTATACAATGGATTTTTACACAAGTTAACTGTGAATTTGTCCTCATGTTTCACGAAATAAAATATGAACTGACCTACACATTTTACGAACAATATTTGAATAACCACGAAAAACTAGCTAATGTCTTTTTTTATTGTAATATTTCAATGTATCATTTGATTATTATTTTATTATAAAATGGAAATTTCATGCTTGAACATGCTACATTATGTATCAATTGGATGAATAATTATAATGAAAATAATAATCATAATAAAAACAACAACAACAGTGTAACATGATTTTTTGTTGGCTATCAGCCAAGAACAACTGTGTCAACATGAACAACAACTTGGTACAGTTGTCTGACAGCGGTACATGTTATCAAATAAAACATTTTAAAAAAATAAAAGAACCAAGAAATTATCCACTAAAAAAATCTATCATATATTGTTGTAGTAGAATGAAAATCAACTCAAGATGAAGAGACAAAAGAAACAGAAAATATATGATTAGAAAGAAATATTTTCCTATACATAATCCAACTATTGTTTACTTTAATTTTAAGAGTTTTATTCATCACAGTTACTTACATTAACAATCAAACACTTCTACATTAGATAGTAAAAAATTTTGTTACTAATATTTCAAGTCATTTTGTACTCTATAAGTGCCCTATTCGAGATAAGTATCTAGAAAATTTTTAATTTCAAATAAGTTATTTGATAAATCTTAATGAAATCATTAATTTTAGTATAGATATTTGTGGGAAGTAATAAATATCCATGATTTACATCATGAGCGTTTTTTCAATTAAAAAAGACAATTTAAGTTAATGTATGAATCAAGAAATATCTTATGGCTTACCATGCAAAAAGTCAATAAACCGTTCTAAATCATTCACTTGAGTTTTCAACTGTTCCACAAGTTTTTCATTAACTTTAACTGGATTTAAAAACTAGATATGGAAAATGATAAAAATAAAGACATGATTCTCCAGTGTCATAATAATTTGCTAAAAAGCAGAATAGTTACTCCTATGATATTTACCAAATAATAGTTGACTGAGATTTCGAGAGTTTAAATTTAAGGCAATTTGATTAAAGGAACAATACAGATTACTGGAAGTGGTTTATTAACAGAAAAAGGTTAACCAAGCAAAAAGATAACATAGTTTATACTACGAACTGATACTGGTTTATTATCAATCGAAAACAAAAGAGCACTGAACAGCAATCTCTTTTCAGTATGGAACTCCTCATAAGCGCTCAAACATGATCTTGTAGTCAGTATTCAGACACAAAGTCTTCAGATTCAGCTGTGATGGGCTGATATTCAGATCACTGGACTAGTATCTAACTGATTATATATTTAATTTCATTCAGTTCTGTTTACTGAAAGACCACATCCTGTCGCCTTCGATGACAGTTACCTTACACATGTCATGGCTGAACTTCATTGATCAAGACCTCCTTAAATTACTTCTTGAAGTTAGCCATTAGTGAATACAGGATTATTATTGCTATAAAGGGTTTTGGAATCTACATTATGGACTTGATTTGATTATGACCGACTTGGTCTCGAATGCTGTTACTGTTATGAGGGCAGATGTCACTTCCCAGCTGCCCACGCCGTGGGAGTGTGTTTCTTGATGAACCTGAAGAAGTTGGACTAATGTTGGTCTCAAAGACCTGCGAGCGTGACCTCAAAGTCCAGGTGACAATTGCTTGAGGCCGGTCACGTACAGCATTTGTATAGGAAGTGTTTAAAGTGTTAGCTCTGCTCTTTTTGAAAGATGTTACCGCCGGAAACGAAAATCCATGAGGTAAGATGAAGTGTGAAATTTTTAGTGTCGACCCTTTCTAACCCCTTCCTTCCTTGTAAGAAGGCAGCATCGCTGCAGATGCCGGTTGTCCGAGGGAAACACCTTACTCCTGTCACACCCTCTACTCAGAACTTGAGTAGCTGCTTTTAATCTCGCCGTTCTCCAGTAGACCTGTCTGGCATATTAGAACCTAAAGGAATATATAGAGCTCTGCCGGATCATCAGGATAGGCAAGGCAGACCACCACGTCAATGTAGCTGCTATGGTCGAGGCATTATGGACTGGTCTAAGCAGAACAGCTGGTGAAAACAAAGAGCACTGGACAGCTGATTCGTTATAGTACAGATATTTAATTAAAACCAGTTCATAATGCGAACTACGAAAATTCAAGAATTTCCACAAACCTGTGCTGAACAAGTGGTTACTAGAAAATCAGAATCAAAGAGATTTCAGTCCTAGTATGATTATATGTGCAGGTATATACGGATCGTACTACGTAACATAATGTTTTCACTCATTTAGTTACTCCTCACATACATTATCTACCTCGTAAATAAGAAAGTAGGACTTAATTTATCATCTTGAAATCGCTACTTTACAATAAAATAACAAAATAAAAGCTATAGTAAACAACCCATTCAAGATACTTGCGTTTTACGTTATTTGTATGCACAAAATAATAACATATTTATTTATTCTGTTGATACTACCAAAAACGTTTTAAATATAACCGACTACTTTTCATCACAGTTATATATTTTTTCAGTGTGACAATGATTTAAACGATCTTCACTAGCCTCCTTACACTATGACTTTTACTCTCAATGTGAGTAGATTTAATTTGAATTAAAAAACTATATAATACTGTTTAATATTATTATAAATGAGATTGAAGTGTTAGCCTTATATTATCTGTGATTCACTTTATGAATCTTTCAAAAAAATTGCTAGTTAGAAAATTATTCAGTTAAATTACTATTAGATCTGTGCATAAAATAATCTAACAATCAGTTTCGTAAATTTCTAGCCAGCTGATAGTCTTAATTCATATTTAAAGTTTTACTTTCGTTTTGAAATTCCGTAATAAATATTGATAGGTCTTCTATACTATTCTACACAAACTACTACTGGAGCCCTTCTTGGTTTACTGCTGCTCCTGGATAAAGGAAAATGGTTGGGCATGGGGTTTGGCGACCTCACTCCGTAGAAAACCAACTCGCTAATCAAACGCTCACCAGAAAAAATAGGTCAGCGGCCCATGATCCATTAGTGGTAACAGCTGTGGGTAAGGAAGTAAGTTCTACACTTTGATCACTTGAACAATAAACTAATTTCACTAGATTAACATTCACTTTAGGTAATGGGATAAAATGAGTTTATCTATTTATCTGTTATCGTCTCTTTACATCAAATTATATTTTTAGAATAATTAATTCAAAAAAATTTCATTACGAAATGGTTGATGGATAATCAAGCAACTCACTTGATTCACAGCTTTGTCTACGACTTGTTTTAGTTCAGAAGCTGGAAGTTTGTCCACATTGGAAATATTCAATTCAAGTTTCTCTCGTAAACCTTCTAGTACCAAACGTTGCTTTTCTAGAATAGCCTGAGTTGGAGGTTCACTTTGTTCACCAGTCTTTAAAAAAATAAAACAGTAACAATAACATGTAAATAATATTAACTTAAAAAATTAATTCTTTGTAAACAAAATAATTTTAGTACAAGGAAATCATTTTTTGCATTATAGTATCACTATAAAAACGTTTTCATTTTAGTTTTCATTTCAATGATATCGTTCGATTAAAAATGGAAAGTCAATAAAATTTTCAGTCTAAAAAGGAAACTTTCAAACTCTTCAAAATTGTTTCTTTGTAGTTACATTCGAAATTCCATGTGTATTTTATATTGTTAGGATGACAAATAATTTTTTTACTGGAATCATTCATTGTTCACAGAATACAACACTAAAATAATTCATATTTCTTGGCATAAATTAGCTTACATACAAAAATAATTTTACATAATACAATAAGAAATTATTAATTGTTTAAAACAAATAATAAATCATAATTCAATCTCTACAAGTGTACAGTCAATATATCATATCAATCTTGATTCATTTATTTAGTGAACTAACAGTAAAAATGCTGTAAAAATGAAAAAAGAAAATTCATTCATCAAGAAACCATTACATTTAACTTTTTTTTTAATTGTATAACAAAAATCTAATAGATTTATGTTCATATATACAATATTAAGAATTATAACCCTAATGAAATCAAGATTGAATTATTTTGAAATTAGATTAGCTTTAAATAAGCTCATTTAAAAAATATTTAAATGTTAATTATGTATTTGAATAAATGGGAAAGATGTCTTCATACAGAATGAATTTAATCAGAGATTTATCATTCCAACGAAATCTAATATGGCCTAACATCTACTGTTCTGTACAATTTAATTTTAATCATTAATAAAATCTAGCATAACTACTAGTATGGCATAATTCAATTTTCTCCTTCTACTGCTTATTCTTAAGCTTGAATATATTAAATCAGAATCAGTTTTTGATGATTTAGTTGTGTGAACTTTGAAATCACTCGAATGCATGCTGATAGTATAGTACAGGATTTAAGGATTTTGTGATTAATAGTTCTGTCGTCACTGTTGAAGTATAATGAATGAATAATATGCTAAAAAATAATCGGATTCTTTGTTTTACACTTGAAACTCGAAAACACAGGTCCAAACACACTAGATACCTTCATACAACAACAACAAGTCTTGAAGTAGAACCGCTATGACGTACAGTGTTTTGAAGTGCAACGATATTGAGGATTTCGTCAATACAACATGTAATTACATAAATGCTATAAGAGTGGAATGAACTAAATTTTGCGTGATAAAATATATAGACCCAAGATAGCTTATATTTCTTTTTACATACCCTAAACGATCGTCAAAAGAATTAATGCAATAAGTTTTTCTTTCGTTTTTCTATATACAACAACGTCAGATGCAAGATAAAAACTCGGATTCACAACTATTGGGAAATTCGACCGATTTCATCGAAGTTTTAGTGGAACCTCACTAGAAATTATGTGGAAATTTAAGGAAAACGTGACAAAAGATCTAGAATTTCCACTGGTCTACAGATTTTTTTAAGGATTTTCACTGAGAAAGTCCCCTATATTTACACTGAATCTATATAGTATAAGGAAATCCGATGAACTTCATAAATAAATCATTGAAGTTTCCTTTACCTGTAGAGAAAATCATAAAATTTTAAACAACTTTATTGAGATCGTCAAAGTTCCCCATAGGATCAGTAGAATGCTTAATATAACAAAATACTACTGTTGTTTCCTAAAGTATCTTAAGCTGTAATAAATATCTTTTACGCTACTGTACTTTTTTTATCGATATATAAACTGTCTTCTTATCATTTAATAAATATCTTATTCCGTAGAGTGTACGAAATCATAATCATTGAATAAATTTTAAAGTCATCGTGTTCACTGAACTCATACGAAATTAGATAAGGAGTGTGATTTCTGACAACTATTCACAAACATCTATTTAAGAAGCAAGATGCTTAAATCTTGTTATTTTAACTAATTAAGGATAGTCTACTATTGATTATTATTTAATAGACGAGCTCAAATGTAGGAGAACGAACACGAGTTGAACTAAAAAAATACTAGTAAATAATTTCTAAAGTAAGTTATAAATGCGTAGGCGTTTTGGGAATATCCATCGTCATTTGCAGATAGATGAAATGTACGATAAATCAATAAATGAAAACAACCAATCAAATTGCTAATAAAATTTAATGAATGAATTTTCTAGATAATGAGTAAATATGAATTCTGTTCTAAAAATAAAAATGGAAATAAATCATTTCAGTATAATACAGGTTATTAAGAGGCTAATGTATGAAACGATGAATTCGCCTGTCATAAGTTGAAATTAATTTTAACTTATTAGCCAAAGAAATCAAATCTAGTGATTACATATTTTCACGGTAGAACTTAAAGCTTACCAAATGCCGCATATAAGTTATCAGGACAAAATGTCTGAGCTATTATGAAACAGCTACTCACAAACTGTTAACTTTAAATAATAATCTAGATGATGTAAACCTGTGACAAAAAGACTTATTTCGATTCGAAATGAAATTAATAACTTCGACGGAATACCATTGTTAAGTACTAACCATGAAATTGTCATAGCTAATACGAATAGATTACGTATCGAATTTAATTTAACCGACAATAAAGCTATCGATCTTTGCAAACTGTATACACTAAGAGTTTTCCTTCACTTAAACCTAAATATGTATGTATAAATGCTTAATCTTCCTAATCGATTTTTCATTGTTCCAAACTGTAAAACCATGTGGGAAGACAAATTTTATATGTCCGTAAGTATCAAAAAGCCAAATCAATAAAGAAGCTTAAAAGTAGTTTTGTGTATGCTTACATCATCTGTAGAACAACTGATTTCGAAACTATAGACCAATGACTTTCGATCAAGTGAAATTCGATTCGAATCAAAGATGAGAGTCATCATGAATTCACTCCAAGTTTCAAGTGGATAAGGTAGAAAAATTTAACTACGACAAGTATTTAATGTGCTGTTTTCTTAATAATTTTCTAACTGATGGTGAAAGATGAGAAAAATCAACTTTATTAAGATTCAATAGAAGTGAAATAAGTTCTGGCATTTTCGTTAGTATATTGGAGCTATAAAATCCTCAAAAATACTACTCACCCATACTAAGTAATTTAAAGACAAACCAACTGATATAAATAAAATATGGAATGGAATGTCAAGTCTTCAACTAGAAATATTTATACTTTTTCATGCAACCAGAATTGCCTGATATATAAGACAAGAAAAACATTGCAATACAATCTTTTCTAGGTTTTTTATTAGATACTAACTAAGTTAATCTGCCTACATGTTTTAGTGTTAATATATGTTGTTGAATATGATTTTGTTCAATGAAAAAACATATATCATAGGATATTTTGATCTGATCCAAGAACTGCTGAAATCGTAAAAATTGATGCTCATTTAATCACTTAACAAAATATGAATTATTGAGAACATAATTACAAGAAATGGTTGTTCTTAGAACAACAGAAATTATTACCTCATAAGCGAATCTTTCCAGGTCATCAAGATGCCTTCTTAGCTGTTCAATCATTTTCTGAGGTCTTCCATCGAAACTCGAAGAACAAGTTTGTGATTCTGAAGAAAACTGAACATATGAACACATCAAAAATATTTATATATCTATTTTTAGAATACATATCATTAGAAACATCAAGTAACTTCTTAAACATTTGGTAACCTAATTGAGAACAATTTTAAGGAATAGAACTTCTCATGTGCGTTCGCTCATCAAGCTATATTTGTCATTTAAACTAAAAATTTCTCTCTAATGAGAAAAAAGATTCATTTTCAAGCATAACCGAACCCTGGTATCAAAATAATTAGATTTTACCATAGATTTCTCAGTTGACTCATGTTTATCAAAGTCTCACATAAAAAAGCTGAACAATGAAACATTTTAGTGTACTTATGACATTCATAGCAATAACGGTCTATTAAAAGATATTTCCCCCAAGGCATTGATGAAGAAAACAATTGAAGCAGCATGAAAACATTTGATTTTCTAATAGTCTCAAAAACTTACGTCTGTTGTATGATAACGTGTGTCTAATTAAACTTGGAGATACTTTATATCGGCTACCAGTTTCTGAATATGCTCATTAACATAAACTTTTAAAAACCCAAATCATTATGGTTTATATAAAAGTAAAAGTAGATACGTATCATCATGAGGCAGTTATGAGATTGAAGATAGATAGCGAGTGTTGTAAATAAATACGATATGCGAAAGAAGATGCTGGATTATCACGTACCGTAACAAGAAATCAAAGAGATATAATGATTTAAGTGATGCTGTAATGAAGTGGTTGAACGTAAATTAATATCTGTTAAAAATAACATAAGTTGAGGTTGCATCGTTAAAAAGTAAAGCTATGGATTTGAAAAAAGTGGTGCAATCGAGATAAGAGGGAGAGGGAAAAATGTCGCGGGAATCATATAATAAATAGACTGATAATGAATTCACCAAGATCAGGGATGATTTGTAACTGTTTCCTTTAGGTTATGTAAGTTCGGCTCAAGGCTTTTGGTAACTGTGGTGTCGGCGAATTCGAGAGGAGTGTAACTTGACTGCCAGTTGGCGACGCTGAAAGGTTTCAATGTATCAACTTATCACCCCGTCTCATAGAAAGGTTCTGCGGTAGCACTACCCAAAGCCTTTAATCCCTTTGACTTAAGACGTTTTGGGATATGTTCTCAAAATCGAATAAAGGTCCTTCTTTTTATTTTACCAATGTAGCTATTTTGGCTAGTACATGTGAATTTATACACGCAGTTGGCATCAACATGATAGATATTTAATCCAGGCAAAATTTACATATCCAAAAGCAAGCAGTTGCAAATCATTCCTTACTATGGTGACCCCCGACCGTATATGTTACCTGACATGGTAGTCGGGCTTGCCTATCGTGATGACCCAGCCGAGCTATATTGGCTGTACGTCCTGCCATGACAGACAGGTCGATTGGAGAACGATGGGACTAAAAGCAGCTACTCAAAATCTGAGTAGAGGGTGTGGTAGGAGTAAAGTGTTTCCTTTGGACAACCAGCATCTGAAACGATATTACCTTCTTACAAAGAAGGCAGGGGTTAAAAAACGCCAACACTAAAAATTTCACACTTCACCCTACCCTCCTTTCATTCTTCTGTCATCCCGTGCCGCCGATGCAAACGTTTTGAGTTCATGAAACGCTATTCATGGTATCCTGAAACCCCGTTCTAAACTACATGTTGTAGCCTTTAGTGTTCAAACCTTGAGTCGAATAGGGCAACAGGCTTCTTTAGATAGGATTCTGGAATCTCGTGTCATCGATTTATGTTGCATCTACGAAACGCGCACACAGGATACTAGTAGAATCGTGAGTTTGATTTCACTGTGTTCATAGAGACAAGCCACTTGGTTTACGCCTCGCATATCTGGAGGCCCTATTGCTGCTTTCCGTGGCATTGCTGGTGTAGGTACAGCATTAATCCCTAGGCAAGAACCAGCTCTCTTAGACTAGATCCCAGTAGACAGTGGTTTATATGCTTTCCAACTAAATGGGAGACCAAGGACTCGTAAAGATATTAAAACTATCTGTTGCCTCTTTGTTGTCTCTGTCTACGCTCCCACTGACTGCAGTTCAGACGAGATAAAAGATGAGTTTTACAGAAAGCTTTCGGACTTCCTCCAAAAAGTTAGGCGCTCTGATGTAGTAGTAGTGGCTAGTGACTTTAACCCTCAGATAGGTAGACTCAGCAAAAAAAAAGACAGCTGGGTGAATCTTATAGTGTACAGGCTGGTCAAACAGAAAATGGCGACCTTTTGCTACAGCTATACTCAGATGACAGCCTATTTCTAGCAAACGCTAACATTAATCATAATGAGAAACATCTCTTGACCTGACGATCCCCAAAGCCGACCAAACAATGGACCCAACTAAACCACATTGCTATTATCCATCGGTAAAGAGACTGTATTGAAGACTACCGCTCATTCTGGAGAACATGTTTAGATTCAGATCATACCCTGTTACCAGCGCGCACTTGTGTTTGTCTTACTGGACGTAAGAAAGACTGAAAAGTAACCTCTCAGGGTTCTACTTAATGGTAGCAAAGCTAAAAATATATTTCAGGAGCAACCAGAAAAACAATCAGCCAGTCAAGTAAGTGATGCTTCTTCTGAAGCGGCTTTGAACGACTGGTCCCAATCACTGATTGTCCCAATTTATAAAACAGGACAAAAGTCTACTTGTAACAACTATAGAGGGATCAGTCTAACTAATATAGTGTCTAAAACCATAATAATTTTGACTTCATTAAATATTATTTTGTAAACAGCAGATGACAACGTTACAAAATGCAATTAATTCATGTTTTTCTGCTCAATTCTCTCTTCGAGACAATAAGTGTTTGAAATTACTAACTCTTGAGTTACGAATGACACCACAACCAGCCAACTTAGGTCTTCATGATGTGTTATAGCTGAGCAATAGTCAAATTAAGAACAATAATGTTGATATCTTGAAAACAAATATCATTAAATAAAAGTAATAATGATGAATATTTACAAATTCGGAACTCTAAACTACTCCCGGAATTTAAAAGTTACGGAGAAAATCATTTATCTTCATAGCACTTAGTAAGTTACTGTCTGAAGATGTTTCACTAACATATAAAGTAGAAGCCTGTGGTAAGCCTTTATTTTATACGGCATCTAACAGCCTAACAACTGCGAATTAAATGTTAAATAATCAAATTATTCCCACCCCATTCTACAGTTATAAACCTATAACCCTTTGATACTCCCAAAATTAGATATACTGACAAACGTAAAATTAATTAAAATAGATCTGTTCACTAACTTTGTGACACTGTTCTGAGAGTGATTGTAAGTCAGGAATTCCTCTGGAAGCAAATTCTTCAAGAGATTTAAGCATGAGCTCCCTGTTATCAGACTCAGCATTTATTACTTGTCCTAAGCGAAACTGCACCTGTAAAATACAAAAATATGTAATGTAGACCAGGGCTTATAGTAATCTACTTAATAAAAAGATAACCAGTTTTCGACTAAAGCTATTCAGAGATAATAGGTTGAAGTAAAACCTGTCCATTGTCAGAGAGTTAGTGCTTCTTAAAAAGTCCATGAATAATTTCGCCGTCATTAAATACACAGCATATATATCTTACGACTTATAAATCGAACTGACTCAAATGAGCGAAATCCTACAGCACGTGCAACGAGGAGAGCATGCATAAAATACGTAGAAACGAATAACTAAGTAAAAATGAAGAATGACATTTCTGTTTACTGAAAAGCTTCAAAATAAATTTTTCATAAACTTACCTCTCTTAAATCTAGAAGATCTTAAACAAATCCTTCAAAACCTTTTCTCATAATGAGAATATCATAGTTTTAATCTTAAAGTCCAGCTAAGATGCACTTTCCATGATCCATTACCAAGTACTGTATTATCGATGTCAATAATGTTGACAAAAAACACACCCTTTGTTCATTATCCATATACCATATACAAATTTCTCAAATATTATCATCATCTCAACACTGAACAAGCCTATCAAAGTAGATAGGGATTTTTAATATAATAATTTATGACCTACGCCACACATTATTAACTGGAATATAAATAATAATAATAATAATGGAATGGAAACATTGATAAGCTAGAAATCATGTTAAAAACTCTCAGAGACTGGTTATCTCAGTAATAAAATGCATCCGACGCGAAAATTTAACAAATAAGGCCCAAATCAACATAGGTGTTTGACGTTCGTAGGATGGTTTTACATCCCTAAAAATTAACTTCAGTTATTTCCTGATGATGTAGAACAAAGACTTTGGATGACTAGTGGACATCTGTTGGAGTTTTGACTTCAACAGGTTCTTCTGGTAGTTTTAAACTAAAGTGAAACAGTTTGAAGGATTGAGCTTGAACTTGTTAGCTGCATATGTTTATGATTCGTACGAGACCTAAAGAATCCTGATTGAACTATTTTCTAGTTCATTAGACAGTAATTGAGAAAAGACTGAAGTCACCGTAAGTCCACTACTTAATGAAGCACGATTCCTAATTATTATTTTAATATTATCAAGTTCTGCTAAAAGCCACTTTCGAGTTCTCCTTATCACTACAGCTAACTGAAACATTTATCACAGAACATTGAACTGCCTCTACTTAATTTTTCTAACGAAAAATAATATCGCAAACAGTGACTATTCATTATGTAAGCGCATACAAAATAAATTACATGGAAGCCAACAAAACTGTGACATCTGAGTAAACCTTGATTTATATGTTATACTGAATAAGTACCTGAGCAATATGAGACGTAAAGGCCATCAATAAATTATTGAGGTGCTCGTTCTCAACAGCTAGGCGGGATAATTCGGACTCAGGAGAAAATTCATGATCCATGTGATTCTCTTCAAATGCATGGTGACTAGGTTCAGGGCTTGCATTTGCACCAAGAGGTGTCCATCTTCCTTTAGGTCCATTATTTTCATCAACGACCGAAAATGCTTCTTCTGTACAAGGCATACAGTCGGTTTGCTGATTTGTTAACTGAACAAGACTCATATTCTTAGCAAACACGCAATTACAAGGAACAAAGTTGATAAACCCGCTATTGACCCCAGATGCAGAGTAGACGGTTTTGACCGGTTTGAACGACCATCGTTCATAAGTAGGATTTTTTGTCTTTATGAGCTTCTACCTAAAAAACAAATACTTTTTCTCGTTTAATCGGTATAATAATCGTTTTTACTATCTTATAGCTTAAAGGAAGTGAACAATAGATAGTTGTTGGGAAGACCGTGGATTAACATCTAAGGTTCGTCAAAACTTCAGTGAATGTCGAAAATTCTCTTTTTGAAGTGACCAACAGAAGTTTGAATCACTATCGCTTCACTTGCAAGGATAAAAGATCAGGTGACCTGTTTTCAAACATGTATCTTGCATTTTTGAGATCGAATCTCAGACGATCGTACTTCAGGAAGTGATTTTTAGTATTTGTAGCTGTATAAAACATTGACATTTCATAAGCAGGGGATTTGATCTTAGATTACTTTCCTCTTAGCTCTTCATTTCTAGGTAACAAAAATGTGTCTAAGAATCTCAAATACTAAGATCTTCAATCAGTGTTTTATAATCACCTCGTGATCTGCATCAAGGTAGAGGGGATATCTCCGAACGTCTTGACTTTTGTATTATCAATCTTAATGTCAGTGTTTAGTTAGCATATTTATATATATATATATATAGTTTACTGTGAATCTCCATATATGAGCGACTTTGTAATTTCACCCGCGTCAATACTTAGTTCTTTACATTTCTCTTTGACTGCCCAAATAAATATTCAAATTGTTGATATAAAATTGACCCATTCATTCTTTCTGTCCATTTCGCATAAACGACTAGAATCAGTTCTTTCACTGTATGTCTTATTCGGCTTTCATCTACACTGCCAAACAATAAGTCTCATGCAAACACTAAGTTGAAGAACTAAGTTTCATTTTTGCCGTTTTTTATAGATTCAATAACAGCATTGTAGTTTTCCTGTCGTTCGTCTTCCGTTCACATGTATGTACGAAATTAATGTGTCCAAAATGTTTCACAACCCAAAGCCGTGACGGTTTTACTCTTGTGATTCGTTGCATGATCTGATCCGCTATTCGGTGACTGTTGATAACATGTGTTACATTTTGGTACCTTACTCATGATCACGCTCTACCTATCGAAATTTCCCTCGAAATAGTATATAGACCTAATCAATACTAATACAATACAATACACTTTCGACTTCTCGGTGGAAAGCATGCTCCATAGATGCTACACTATTAGTACTGCATCAGAGAATTTATCACACACCATAGACCAACTGACATTTTTACTACCTGCAAAAATTGTACTTTCTACATGTCGTCTACTCAATATGCGTATAAGAAACGCAAATCGTTCCAATACAATTTCCATTCAACCTTTTATTTTACACTGTTCTACGTCACCGGTTCAGGCAATTTCTCGTGAAATTATCTAATGATCTTCATGTCTTTGGAGTCAGGTAACTAACAATCCTCAACCTCGCAAGGCAACTGTTAAATCAACCAATAATTTGTGAATATGTAGCTGCTTGAATGCCATTGAGTTAATTCAAGTTAAATAAAACAGATATTCCAGTACTACCGCTACACTCAACTGATTTTAAAACAGACGATATTACTGTAAACTTTTGGGCTAGATATAAGTTTTAAGCTCACTTAATATGAGTGACTTCAAGTGGGTTATGTAGGTTTCCAGCCTGTAGTATGGTAAATAAAAATTTTAGCTGATATGGGGTTCGTTAATTGATCACATACAGTTCTAAAACAGACTACTGTTTCCTTGATGATATGCTTGAAAAGTATTACGAGTTCACCTTACTCGGTAAACGGAACGAAGGTTACGATAAGCTATTCTAATCCGTTTCTCACAGGCCCTGCTAACTAGATCAAGAAGTCTTGATAAGACTTAGAGAATGTACTCTACAAGCACCCAGAAAGTTTTGTACTTTTGTACACCCTGCCCAGGATAAGCCATACATTAGAGGTAAACATAAATCTATCAACAGATAAAGATAAAACAATTTCATAAAATCTTTAGCCTCACCGACACGCGTGCACCCTATTTACCCCGGTACGAGACTTTCTATTCTCAAGGTAGTTTCTGAGCCAAGATACGATAAGGGTCAGTGAAACCCATTTCCACAACCTTTGCGATTAAGCTTGCGTACGACCTGCTTTTACGAAACCCGTGTTGAGCTTTACAGAGTATTTTGTTCTTCTCCATGTTCTCCCTCATCTATCTGTTCATCAGCCCTTCCACTACCTTTGATGTTTCTATTCATCTGGGAGCTGGTGTGACTCCAGTGAATGCCTTGTAGTGAATCATTCAATGTCTAGCTCACATGACTTTTCCCACTTGTCTTTTTACCTTGTCACTCATTCGTCGCTTGTATTCATGTTTATGCATGCCTACTCGCTTACATGTCTGTCTAATTTTTTCTGGCTATAAATTCTTAGTCATGCTTTATCTCTTGGAGTTGGCTCACTAGCCTTCTCCACATCGCTTCATCCGTTCATTCGCCTATTCACTCGCTTGCCTGCTTTTCGGCGCTCGCATGACGATTTTATCTCATAGCGCTTGTAGTCTGCTCTTCTATTTGTGGTGTGTCAAAAATAAAGTTATTCAAAACTTTGTGTTCACCTTCTGATTTATAAATCGTCAGACGCTAGATAGTAAAGATTATCTGGACGAGCTAATCAAGAAGATTAAGAACACATCGAAATTGGCCACCACAGCCTGGTCAGGTAATATATTGGTGAAATGATGGCTTTTGCACATTGTTTCAAGACTATGGGGCGAATATTGCCACAACCTGGTGACTTTCCTGGACGTAAGGATTTTAGTTTCCTTGGTACCAAGTGGGGAGTAATACGGGTTTTCACTGAGCTGTCCTCCGGCACTGAGTTGTTTAGTATTCTGAACATGTGTATGCCTGGTTTAATTGATCGACGTAGTTCGTGTTGAAGATCTCAGCCATCTCTAGGTTAGTGAGGTCTTCCCCATTCGGACCTTTAGGAAAAAAACACTGATTAGTAGGTCTTCCTTTTGTCATGAACCTAAACAGATGCTTAGGGTTTGCCTGTATTCGAACGGCTAGCTTCTTCTGAAAGCGTTTCCGATCACTTCGGACTTTGGTATTGCATCTGTTTCTTAATTCCAAGTAAGAAGCACGACTGGAATCCTTCAAGGAGACCTTCCACTTATGCCAGGTTCTCCTCTTCGACTTTGGTATTCCATCTGTTTCTTAATTCCAAGTAAGAAGCACGACTGGAATCCTTCAAGGAGACCTTCCACTTATGCCAGGTTCTCCTCTTCGCTTGTGGCTAGCGTTCAGTGCTGCGCTTAACCCATGTTCTCCTATTTCCAGGTGTGTGGTGTGACTGAGATACATTGCCTAGGACAGCATTCGGGACGATGTCTCTCACTGTTTGCCACTGATCGTCACACTGATATTCCATATAATACTAGAAGCTAATTTCATGCGAATTATTACTATTGTTTAGTTGTTTGATAAATATAGTCCCTTACTGTATAATAATCAGATGTTTAAGTTGACAATGTGAATATTCGCTTTCGTTGCCATTATTTTACGCTTTCATATCCCTTCAAATAACAAATCTCATATTGATAATTTCAGCTAAAATGTACCTGTCGTTTATAAGTCTTAAAATCGTGCTCTCAACGATTGGTTTTCCTAGTGCCCACCATTAATATGAAGCAAGATTACTTTATATTTCTATATACTAGCTACTACTCGTTAGAGATAAAATTGCAAATAAAGCAAATGCTAGATTAAGCATACCAGAACCCACAGTTTAGATATATCACTCTCTTGTTATGATAGAATGTCAACTAAAATAATCTTAGATAAAACTCTGAGAAACCATTTCGGTCTGAATGATATTGATGATATGTACAACATCATTGATTACAACATAAAAGCGTACTTTCGCTTATTATAATTAGTTTAATGCTAAAATTATCTAATATGAAAATTCTATACAGCTCACCAAACAGGAGTCTTTTATGATAATATATCTCTACAAAGACATATTTAGTAGTGAATTTTACACATGAACAAAAGATGTGTCAAGTGAGGAAAAGGCTCTATTAGTACATACATTAAGCAAAGCTGGAAATTTAGAACTGTGTAGTTACAAGTTACTTACTATCTGTATTGTTTTATTCTGGCGGCCATATAAGGGAGCTTTGAAGGACTTCAGTCGTGACCAATAGTCGTTAAGTGTTGTTCTCGCCTGTTATCTCACTAGCATTGTGTCAGTAATTAACCGATAATAGATTCTAGATAGACAGTCTAGGAGAAATATCCACTAATCCTACAAAAGAAATCAAATTCTCTCCCGTAATTGCGTTTCAACCACACGGACCCCAATATAAGATCAAGAATTTTTTGTTCTCATTATTATAGAAAAAATAATTTTCACAGATATAACTCTGAGATTTGATTCGTCCAGTTTTAATACTTGTAGATTAGTGTAAGTACTAAAATTGTTTCAAAAATCATAACACTCTAGACCACCTTTATCTTAAAGTGGGCGATTTCCATGAAGAATATCTGCTAATCAGGATAATTAAGAAGTTCTGAAAGGATTTTATTGGTTGTAGCACTCAGAATTAGTCCAACTTAAGTCCGGTAAAGTTTTTCTTTCCCAGAAATCCTGACCATAAATATCCACTTAAGCAAGTAACTATTCTCTGAAATAAGGTGATTTAGGAGTTATTCATCTACGAATAGTACTGAATGATGAGTAGATTGAATTGGACACTCAATCAGTGATTGAGCATCATCGTACCTGTCACTTGGTGAAAATCTACAGTTTGATATCTTTAGGAGTATGCACATTTAAAATCCCAAACTCAGGTTATTCATATACCGCCAGCTGATGTCATTTGTCAGTTGCTTTTATTGTTGTACGAGTGACCCATTTATGCATTGTCATTTATTTTTATGTCATAATAATTTCAAAAATAAACCATTACTCAAATCTAACATAGTTACCATCATTTGATGTTTATTTCTATATTTTAGTAACTTATAAACAAAATAGCACTAATAGAATTTCTATTAAATGTTTAACTAATTCATTAAATGAAATTGACGCTTTTTAAAAATAATAATACTGTCAAATATAAGCATTACTCAATAGTTTAAAAGGTTGTATTTTTACT